AAGTTAATCGATGCATATCCAGCTAGCAGAGCCAGCCTCGTGAAGTCTGAATGGTAGCTGACTGACGCAAGAACTGGCGACCAACGACCCGGCATCACGTCTATTTATATACGTTAGACTGGCTTGCTCTGATGCCAACACCGCTATGAAGCAAATGGGATGAGGATGAAAAGGAAAACATCCTGTTCCGAAACATGGAAAAACAGACCTACGAGTACATAGGTCGGACGCACGATGGCAGCGATTATACATATATACCTTCGACAAACGCAAGGTACCTAGCATTTTACTGACTATCTCTACAACTTGACTGGCTTGGACTCAATAATGACGATTACACGATAATTAATTAATGACCATAACTGCCGGTTCGGCGCAGTAGCTGCCTACACGTCCCGCGCCGCTGCGGTCCGCGGACTCGGGTAGGACTCAGAGTCGGACTCAGCGCTGGACTCTGAGGAGCCAGAGCGGGCCCACGGCTCGCGCCACACGTGCGACGTGCCGCCGGTGACGTAGCACGAGCAGCCGGACGGAATCCGCACGTCCTGTAGACGGGGACGTACGAACGGGTTGCGCGGGTCCGCGCACAGCATCTTGACCACGGCGAACCGCTGCACGCACACGGAGCTCATGCACGGCGCCAGGAAGTTGCAGCGGTGTCCCTCGTACCTGCCAATGGTGGAAAGAAGCGAGAGCTGACATATTTAATACTATAAATGTCTACAAACACTAGGGGCCAAACGCTGTTTGAGGCAAATCCATTTGAAAACACATGACTGTAGTGAGGCAAACCAAATTGGATATGCTAGGTGAACAAGACGCAGGGTGGTACCTAATAAGTGGAGAGTAAAAAGCACCCGAATCGGACTTCCGATCGTGATGTTGATAAAAGACACTATAGTTACTGATCGACCGGGAAAAGTGAGGACAATTTTACGTTGCGAATCTGTATTCTGTATCAAACTAGCCAATGAAACAAATATTGGGGGGGGGGGATATACCACGCTTTGTTTGGGAGGGGTATATGAAACTTCTGGACTGACCTGCACCGCTCGATGCGCACGGCCTGCGGCAGGGCGGCCGTGTTGATGACCAGCTGCCAAAGACCGGCGAAGGTGCGCGCCCAGCCCGGTCGGCTGTAGCGCACCTCCGACTCACACACAAACTCGCCGGGACCGTGGCGGGCCGACACGGAGTCGGCTGCCGTCCGACTCCTGGAGGTAAGGGACACACAGGGGTCACAGGTCAGGTCACCGCAGGGAGGTCACAGGTCACGAGTCACGAGTCACAACATGGGGCAGGGTGAGAACGAATGAAGAGCGACATTATACTGAAATTCGTCGTTTTTCCACCGGTTATTCGCAGCTCTTCCCTGAAAGCTCTTCACTTATCGTAGGCATAATTTTTTTATTCGTAATGATGGAAAAAACTGCGACTTGAACCCTCCAAGCCCTATCCCGATGGCATGACAGAAACCCATAAAAGTTTAGTCATCTATGGCACCCGGTCCTTAGAAAAATCACTTTTCGTAACAATTCGTAGGACAAAGCCCTCATTTCTGATTTCCCGATAAATTGAGTCAGCCAATGTGTCCGCTAATGGTAACGAGTATTCCCCCTCCCCGAGCGTTACCGGGAGTTGTCCAGCGTGCCGTTGTCGTGCCAGCGGAACTCCTCTGGCGGGTACTGGTACAGCTGTTCGTACATCTGACGCAGCTCGTCCGTGTACCGGCCCACGATACTGTCCACCGTCGACCTGACGGCAGCGGCAACGGCAGGGCAGCGGGGTCAGATTAGCGAGAGCACGTCAGGTCAACAGTGAACGTTCAACAAATTCAAAATGATCACAAACTGGGGGCACATGTGTAATGGAACACAATTGAACAACTGGCTCTTCAAAGAAATATCCGATGAACGACTGAATGATAATTATGAATGATGGAATGAATGATTGATTGATTGAATGAATGAATGAATGAATGAGTGAACCAATGAATGAATGAATGAATGAGTGAGTGAATGAATGAATGAATGAATGAATGAATGAATGAATGAATGAACGAGCCGAAAGAACAATTGACCGACCGACCGAACGAACTGACGAATAGATGAATGGATGAATGAAGCATTCCAGCGTTCGCTCACCGTGGGTAGTCGTCGTGGTCGTAGTCACAGATGGGCTCCTCGGCGGCACAGCCGACCGGTCTCTCCGGAAACAGAGCCGGCCGAGACGGCGGAGAGACCAGACCGGTAACGTCCACCTCACCAATCTCCTGCAGGGTCGCCTGACCTCCTGCTGACCCCGGTCGGTACCGGGAGGGTCGGTCGGGGGAGGAGTGGGAGTAGTGACCGCCGTACTCTGGGTAGGACTGGTGGGAGTTGTCTGCTGGGTAGGACGGTCGGTCACCGGCGTTGTAGGAGGGACGGTCACTGTTGTAGGATGGACGGTCTTTGTGGTAGGAAGGGTAGGAGGGCCGGCTGGAGTGGCCACTGCTCTCCGGTCGGTAGTGGGCGCTGTCAGCTGCGGTGAAAGGGTCACCGCTCTCCGGGTAGCGGTGTCGGCTGGCGGCCGGACGAGGTAGGAACTGACTGCTGCCTGTCACCGTCTGGATGTACTCTGAAACAGGACAAAGGGGGGATAATATTAGCACAGGCGACGGAAAGCTGCAAGTTTTCCGCAGCAGGTCAGCACGAAGCACAATTTGAGTACCAGTCCCAGTCGGATTATTACCACACTCGCCAAAACACAACATTCACTTCAGGGCTAGAACAATGCTCAAAACTTTCTAACTGAAAACCGATTAGCGGATATAGAATGGCATAAAGTCATATCTATCCGCAGACAAAAAAATTGCACGAATCTCGGACCCGGCCTGGTACGGACCGATGTCACAGACGGCGCGGCACTCGTCCTGCGTGATGAAGTTGTTGCGGTTGCCCTTGCAGCCGCCGTAGTGGAAGGTCTTGCAGCGCTCCTCGCCAGAGTCCCAGTACCAGGCGGTGACGTGACCCGAGCAGGGGCCGGCGTCCGGGTACTGCTGGCAGGCGGAACGTGGTATGGCCGGCGTCTGCGGCTCGGCGGTACCGCTCAGGATGCCGTGCTCGTGCTGCCACGGCGCGTGGCGCCCCTCAACCGCCGCTGGCTGGTCGGGGAACAGCACCTTACCGGAGCCCGAGTCGGAACCGCGGCCCAGCCGGGACACGGTGCCTGGAAGAATGGAGAATTGCGGTTAGAAATGGCACAAAGACTGAGGACAGGTAGCTTAGCAGTATTGTAGCGAGTGCTTGGAGCATGTAGCTAGTCACTTGTCCATCGTACTACGAGCAATTGTTGCAATTTGCTGGGCAAGATGTGCTATAATGATGACATCAAGAGCATTAGCATTCGCAGCTCGTCATTTCATTACATAAGGGCTTTGCTGACTACGTGAATCAGCAGCATCTGAGTCGTCTGTTCTAGGTCAGTGTTACGCTGATGTCAGGGTCAGTCTCAACGAGCCACGACGGTTGTACTCTGAGGCGGCACGCAGAGGCCTAGGTCAGGTCACGCACCGTATCGCTCGGAGGGTCTGTGTTTTGTTTCGTGCGCGGGCCGCGTGACGACCTTAGCGAGGCTCGCACGGCGTGGACAGACAATGGCTCGTCTGCGACCCGTCTCGTCCGGCGGAGCCGCGTCGGAGCGTGACGTCACGGGTCAGCAATCACCCTCCACCGATGGTAAGAGGGTGGGTACTCACCGTTTGGTGCGGCCACCTCCTCTATTGCTGCAGCGAGACTGTTGTCGACCGCAGAGCTCAGCGGGGATTCCGAGACGGCGGCAGTGGTAGCGATCCACAGCAGCAGAACCTGGACGGCATGAGAAATGTTAGAACAAGGGGATCATGGAATGATGAACTCAGGTGTATTCGCATAGCATTGAGTCTACGCGATCTTCGCTTAACGGCGTCTCCTTAAAATTGTACGCATCTAATCACTGAGACGTGTTTTTGATCCCCCATCAGGAAAATGTGCCGCTTCTATACATGACTCTTGGTTTGAAGTTTGAACATAGTTTTTTTAAGGTGGTTACAGTTTTGGAACTCGGAAACTAGGAAACGAGCATGATGCACGAGACCTACTGCTTTGATAAGCCAAGATCCCATTCAAAAAAATCAAAACATACCTACTTGAAATGTTTATCACAAAAAGATATGTAACGTCCTAGCAAGTACCCTGTAACGTAACGAGTAAAAAAGGCAAAATGCCACATCGATAACAGCACGTCATAAGTGGCGAGCTTACCAGTAGCGTTTCTCGGCACAGCTCCATCCCTCGGCTTGGGGTGCTCGCTTGTCGAGAAAAGTCACGGCGAAAGCTAGTCAGTCCTCACAGTGGCAGAAACGTACCGAAATAGAACACAAGTCTCACCGACCAGCAGATCCCGTGCCCCTCAGGCTACTGTTGACGAGTCGTCACGAGTCGTCCGTTCACGAGTCCCCTGCCGTGAACGGACCACCTACCGCCGCCGAGTGTCGCCCCAGGACCTGTGCCGGCGGTCAGACCCTGGGCCTTTCTCCGCTGACCGAGGTCAGCCGCAGGTCGAGGTCACGGCGCCGCCGGCGACCGCTCGGGTCACACCACCGTGTCGGCCGCCGGACGGATGTGCCATTGTGCAGGCCGGATCTACTGTTCCGCGGCGGTACCCCCGCCGGAGTGCCGACCTTGAGGACAGTGCATGTCGAGGTACAGGACGCAGGGGCTAATGTCGCCCGGTGGTGACGAAATCGGCCCAAAGGCGTCACGGAGGGCTCAGAGATGACAGGCCGAGGTTACGGTTCGGTTCGCGCGGTTTGCAGCAGATCCTCAGGGACAGACAGGACTGGGCCGGCTGCTCTCTTGGGTTGATACAGTCCATATCAGTAATGTACACGTACGGCACTCGTTGGAGGCGTTGAAAGTTAATAATGCGTGTTCGCTCGAATAAGGTATGCTTCATAACAACTCAGCCACAAACACATTTACTTATGAATTCATTGTTATTGTCTAAATGACACAAACCATACAAATTGAACACAACACAGATTGCCAAGCCCTAAATACCAATGGCAGTCACCTATCTGACTTAGAATTGTTGACTCTCAGAAAGTACTCAAACCACATCGAAAATAGCCATTCAAGAAGGCTCAAAATGACAAAGCGTTTTACAAGTTACAACTGCCATAACCCATGCACAAAAGCCTTCATCCACACATTGTGCTGAGACGCCGTAAAAAAGGCCCATCGTATCAAACACTACAATCCATCCTGCTTCACAGAGATCAAACAAAGAGCTGCATGACTGAAAACGATCACACCGCTTCACAAACCTCTAACCCCCTCCCTCCCCTTGGCACAAAACCGTGATCAGACACGTACCACGGGCAAAACTGTAATACAGAGTGACTTCTGCTGTGTGGCAGTGACATCATGGTACACCGACAGTCTGTCACAAAGACAGACAGCCGCCAGACAGTCAAAGTATATACCTCCCCCACAGCGAACGAAGCCACTCACCACTCACCAGTCCCCGTCCGGTCAGAACGGGTACGACGGGAAGGACAACATGAACGACGCGGCCGACAGCTGCGGCTGCTGCTGCTGTGACTGCGGCTGCTCGCTCTCAGCCGGCGCCGGGAGCTCGCCCGCCGCCGGGTCGTCCTCGTCCACTGGCGCCGGCTCCTCGTGCACGCGCTGTATGTGCGCTCGCAGCGTCTGCTGGCGTGTGAACGCGCGCTTACACAGGTGGCACTGGAAGGCCAGCGGGCGGCTGTTGATGAGCCGCGTCGGGCCCGGCAGCGGACGGTCGTGTACGGCCTTCATGTGCGCCCGCAGAACGCTAGGTCGGCGGAAGGGTTTCAGACAGAGTCCGCAGTGATGCGGCGCCGGCTCCGTCACTGGCGGACGGTGTCGCTTGGCGTGCGCCTGGTACCGCGCCGCGCCGCTGAAGAACTTGTAACACGTCGGACACTGCACTTTGTTTGGGTCGGCGTGCTGGCGCGCGTGCCGCCGCAGCAGCTCGGCCCGCGCCAGCACCCGCGGACACTGGTCGCACGCGTGGCCCGGCCCGGTGGCGTGCTTCTCCATGTGCGCGTCCAGTTTGTCCTTCCTGCGGAAGCGCTGGGCGCAGACGGGGCAGGCGAAGGCCTTCTCCTCCTGGTGGACGAGCATGTGCCGCCGCAGCCGCTCGGCAGTGGGTATCTGCAGGCCGCACTTCTCACACACCATCGGCTTGTCACCCGTGTGCTGACTCATGTGAGAGTCCAGGTGACTCATTCGGTTGAAGCCCCGATCGCACACACCACATTTAAAACGTTTCACCTGTGCGTGCACTCGTTTGTGCATGGCGAAGTTGGAGTGCATGCTGAAGCGCAGTCCGCAGACATCACACTGGAACGGCTGGTCGCCCGAGTGGACCCGCGAGTGCTGCAGCAGGTACTCGCGCCGGTTGAAGCCCTTCTGACAGATGGGACAGACGTGCGGCCGCACGGAGCCGTGGCTCTGCTGGTGGCGCCGCAGCCGGTCCAGACGAGTGAACGTCTTCTCACACTGGTCACACGCGTGGGTGGCACTGCCGTGACTCAGCAGGTGTTTGTTGAGCACGCGGCGTGTTCTGAACGCCTTCTGACAGACGTGACACACGTGCGTCGGCTTGTCGTCCTCTACCGGGGCAGGCTCTGGCACAGGCTCGGGTTCACATTCCTCTTGCTCCTGCTGAGTGGGCGGCGGACACCGACCGTCAGTCTCATCTTTGACGTCCTGCGGCGGAGGCAGTGGCGATGACTTCAGTGCAGGTTGGTGGGAGACTGAAGGCAGCGGCAGCTGTGACGGAGCTGATACCACTGGATTCTGATGATGCTGTTGTAAGTGCTGCTGTAGCGAATGTGACTGCTGCTGCTGCTGCTGCTGTACAGGTAACTGCTGCAGCTGTTGTGGGAGTGACTGCTGGTGTTGATGTTGCTGATAAGGGAGCGAGTGCTCCTGTTTCTGCTGCTGATGCAGAAATGACTGTTGCTGTTGCTGTTGTGGCTGCTGCTGAGGCCGCGGTGGCTTCGGTGGCGTGGACATTGCATGAAACGCGGCCGACAGTTGCGACGGCGGCGGGTGAGACGGCGGCGTGTGCAGACCAGGATCAGTCTGAGGCTGAGGTGGCGCGGGCGGCGGCTGGCACTGAGTGGCCACCGCGCCCACCTCGAGCACCACACAGTCGCCGGAGAGCACGAACCGGCCCTGGACGCTGTGCTCGTGCGCGCGGAACAGGTCCACGTGCCCGTCACAGAGGCTGCAGAGCCCGCTGCGTTCCGGCTGGCCAGTCTCGTCGCTCAGCCGGAAGCGCAGCACGAGTCGGTCACCGTCAGCGCTGACACTCCCGTAGAGAAGGCGGGCGGCGCGTCCGCCGGCCGGCTCGGCCGCCTCGGGTGGCGCCAGCACCAGCTCCAGCGGGTCGCCGCCGGCAGCGAACGGCGCCTCCAGCAGCAGGTGGGCGTCCAGCAGCGCCTCGGTCGACTGCGCCGCGCCGCCCGGCTCCGCGTCCGGCCTGGAGAGCGGCGGCAGCAGCTCGTCCACCACCGGCCACAGGTCCCGGTACGGCAGCGGCTCATACTGCAACTCCCCGCCGGCGTCTCCCATCGCTGATACCACCGGAGCCGCAGGTCACAGTGGTTGGTGGATCCAGCAGGGCAACCAGTGATGAGCTATTCAGTCACAATCTGAAATCAAAATAAATTTTTCAAGAACACGCAGTACTTGCTGTATATCAAAACATAAAATTATGATTACAGAAACATTGGCAATGCATTCTTGTCTCATTGTAATGAATGCACCAATTTGTCTGATGGTAAATCGTCTTATGATATAGGTAGTTTCTGTCCTGAGGGAGGGAGAGGGGATAGAAGCATGCCATGAATGGTGTAGGTAATGCTGGAACTAGGCATCATTTTCATGAGTTCAGAGTTTTTGTCCATTTTTCTAAAATTGCTAGGTACTGCATTTCTGATGATGCTTGTGGGAAAAATTCGAGCCAACTGTATGAGCTTCAGTGGAGATACTAGCAATGTGATGTTGGATTGTTTGATACTGTCAAAAATTAATAACATTAAACCATAAGTAATTGCTCAATGCCAATTGGTCACAGCAAACAGTATTCAAACTTTAAAGGGACCCTCCCACCTTCAAAAAAGTTAATGAATTGGCATGAAATGATTTCACTCGGTTCAGAAAGGGCGAAAACAAATATCTACCAAATTTCATCGAAAAATATTCACCGGTTTTCAAGATATTAGACTTTTACTTTTGTGTTTACTTTATGGGAGCTCCGCTGTTCCTAGCTACTTTGCTTGAAAGTGCGGCACTTGCTGCATGCATAGAAGCTGCATGCAATATGCATAGGGTCTCAGACTCGGAGTGTAATCGCCACGCTGATTGTGGATTGCTCTTGATCGTCAATACATACATACATACATACATACATACATACATACATAGAAGCTTGGAACGGTTTACCTCCTAGAGTTATCAATAGTTCCTCCTTAAGTAATTTTAAAAATGAGTTAGACTTGTATTATAAACAGCGTGGGCTAGTGTTCGATGAAATGGTGTAATTGTACCGTGTTTTACATACAGTGTTTGCTCATCTACCTGTAACCTCGTTGGGCCAAAGTGGCCTGCTGTTACATGGAATACAATACATGTTATGTTATGTTATGCTATGCAAAGCAGCATATACCACCATGCACTACCAAACATTTAAGTAAAAGATTTAAAATCATTAGATCTGTGCAGACGCCACACATTCAAAGGGGGCATTCTAATGCATTAGCCCCTCTGAATCCAAGTGCTGCAACTTTGAAATTAGATATTTTCTATTTGAGGCATTTCTTTATCTTGTGAGCGCTCAAACTGGTAAGTGCAAGCCAGGGACCCCATTTTGGCTATCTCAAAACTAATGTTAAGGTGGGATGGTCACTTTATTATAAAAAATGCACCTGGTCAGGGTAGGCACCCGCATGAATTGCATGCGAGGACCGACTGGACCCAACTAAGTTGAAATAGTAACAGATATTTCCATCAAAATCAAAATACAGTCAGGAAATAATGACATTAGGATTCAAAGCTTTGACATAGGCACAAAAGTACCTACTAAAGTTTGCTTGTTCGGCATGCTTGAGCTCGAAATCCACGATTGCCGTGCACCTTGTTTTATATAAGTGCAACTAGGTCAGGAAAGATTCCCTATTTAATATGCACCATTTAATGCACCATAATATGCATCCCTATTTAATATGTCTGAGCCAGGTCTAGATAAATCAGCAAAAAAGATCGAATAAATACCCAAAATAATATGAATAATAAATCGTCACAAAAGAACGAAACTGACTCGCTCTGATCGGCGGCTGGCTAGTACTCTTGCCGGCGCTCACATACGTGCTGGTTGCCCCGGCAACGGGCTATTGACCAATGAGAAGCGAGGAAAGTGCAACGTCACTGCGATTTTTCATATACCTGTGCCCCCCGTAGCGCGCTTCTCATTGGTCAAGAGCCCGTTGCCGGGGCAACGTGCACGTATGTGTGCGCGGGCTAGCGCGCTAGCCGGCCGCCGAACAGCGCTTCGGCAACTCACGTCATTCAAGGTTGTCGAAATTCCGACTTCCGAGCGCTCTGTCAAATAAGTCGTGAGTAAAATGAAGCTCATGACGTCATTGGACCGCCTGCCCAAAACGTGACGCACCTCCCCCAAGGCGGTGTTTCACGGGCCCTGATCGGCGGCCGGCTAGTACTCTTGCCCGCGCTCACATACGTGCACGTTACCCCGGCAACGGGCTATTGACCAATGAGAAGCGAGAAAAGTGTTACGTCACTGCGATTTTTCATATACCTGTGCCCCCCGGACGTGACGTAGTGTGCTCGCGCGCGTGCAGGGTCTCTGCGATCGAAAAAGAGCGCTAGCAGCGCGCCACTCGACGCCGCAATTGTCAAAAGCGGCGTGTTAGTATGCTTTATTATGAATGATGTGTGTAAAAGTGAGTTTTTATGTTGTTTATTTGGAGGAAATGGTTGGAATAAATTAAGTTATTTTTATTTCTGTTGGTTGGAGTTTTTATTCAAAAGATTTCGGTCTATACCATTGATATTTACTGAAAATACCTTCGCTTGAATAAATTGCAGATATTTGGCAACTGAAGTGTTAGGTAAGCCTAAATGATATGTAAAAAGGTAAGAGACATCCTGATTATCATTTGAGAAACGAAAATATATGAATTTTCCTTATAAGACTCGCTCAATATGCTACTCCGCGGTTTATGCCCCGAGGGTGTCCGAGGGTTCCCGTTAGTTTGTCGTTGGCGCTCGGCTCGCGCGCGAGCCGACGTCACCGCCTGTGACGTCGGCTCGCGAAATACGTCATACCCTGCACACAAAATAGCCGGCTGCCGAACAGCGCTACGGGCCGCTGCTACCACGCTGCTATCAAATTGCGCGAGCTGACGTCATACTTGTGGTAGTGTTGGAGCAATGGGCCTGTTGATGTTTCCATGGAAACCCAATTTGACACGTGTAAAAGCAGCGTGCTGCTATCACCGGTGAAACAGGGCCCAAGATTACTTTACTTATACACCTCCCCTCTCCCCCTAGACCTATAAAGGCGCAAGTTACTTTACAAAAGCGGATATTTGTTTTTTTTTGCGTCCGCGAAGGACAATTACAACTAGTGAAAAAATAAATCCCAAGTTCGCTCAGAAAGAAAAAACGCCGGTATTCGTCAATAGTCAATTGTTTTATTTCGAATCAAAATTCACAGAACCGTGCACCCTGTGTCGCCGGGACAGAACATTTCTTTAAAGCCTTTTGGTGTTGCAAATTCACCGCTTAACACCATTTCCCTTGAGTGCTGACCAACAAAATCCCAATCATGAGGAACCCTCCCCTAAAAACTCCCGTAAAAACCAATAACAACCTTCGCGGAAATTCTGCGACAAGTTGGGCCAGCTTGCGGGAGCCGGTCCACTTGATTAGTCCCTAGTCACCAGAGAAGCCACCTCTGGCTGCCATCTTGGGGCGGTCATCACGCGCCCACCATGTAGACAAGCTGGTCGCCGATGGGCAGCGGCTGGCCGGCGCGTCGACACGTCACCTCCTGACGCGCCGTGTCGATGTGGAACGTGACATCCTCGCCCAGCATCTCCTTGCCAGCGGCTGGCTCTCCGAACACGGGCATTTGCCGCGGCCCCAGCTGCGGGTCCGTGTATCGCAGCAGGCGCACCTGGGTGGCGTCTGCCGGGGAGCGAGGCGGTCAGCTAATACGAACAGGCCTACGTACAGAGAAGGGGCCAAGTGGAAAAGGGAGATTAGGATAGACAAGCACCCAGCCCATATCCCAGCTGGACATAGTTATATTTCAGACATTGACTCATAGCGAAGCTTCACGTCATATTTCATGATCATGAAAATACGCTCGAGTACGCGACACACTCCCTAAAAAAAAAAAAACTTATCCCAAATTGCAGCTGTCTCTTGAACACTTTCTTCCTCATGCGTCAGCTACCCCGCCCCGCCCACCTTCCAGCCATCTCACGAACCTTTGACGGCGCGCTCGGTCCTGGCGAGCCGCACAGCGACGCGGCGCGGTGTGTCTCCCTCTCTCACGGCCAGTTTCACCTGGAACAGGCCGCTGCCCGGCTGCGGGTTGACCGCCACCAGCGGCACGCTCGGCTCGGCGCGGTACTGGACGTACGGGGCGCCCGGACAGCACTCCTCGCGCACACGCTCGTCGGGCGACTCAGTGGAGAGACGCAGGTTCAGGCCCTCCAGCTGTGGCGAACGAAGGGAGAGGGTCAGAGAGCGTCAGCAGGCAGGGGTAGGTATGTAAAAGACCATTTGAGGTAGAACAGAACGTTACGTGTCAGAGAGGGCGAGGCAAAAGGAGGGACAAAAAGCTAGACGGGGTAGCGGGAGAGCTGGTCGCAGACAATCACACAGCCGTAATAGAATCATTAGGGCAGGAGTATTCCTCTATACTCCAAACAACACACGAAGTCGACGGGTGGTAAAATCTACCTCATGCCATCATGCCAACATCGCTGCAAGATCCCGTATCCCACTGCGAATCTCCTCGCGCGGGGAGGGCCTATTGCTTACCTCGAGCGTGCTGACCAGGTACTCGAGGTTCGCCTGCAGCACCTCCCGCTCATCAAAGTCCAGAGTGAGGTTCAGAGCCTGCATACCGACGATGCCGACCTGTCGAAGGAAGATGGAGAATCGGTTGATGTCAGCACGAGTCAGGATGTCCCGTCAATTTAGCAGCGTCCTACCAAATGTCACATTATTTTGTGAGTGATCGATATAAAGATTACTTCCACCACCGACCTTGTCGATAACGACTGACACGAACGGCATGATCTTCTTCATGTACTTTTTCAGCTCTGCCTTCTTGCCCATCTCTGCAGCGATGGCCTTCTTGTCAGGGAAACTGCCCCCGTTTGCCTGAAGACACACAACGAGTCAGTGGTATATTCTACACCCTCAACCCGCTAATCAGCGGTCAACAATAACCGTGTCCGGCTAACTCGGCGATCTGGCCATAACTCATCACCATACCTTACCAGACACCAGTTATCAGGGTAAATCGACATACCGATTAGAAGTCCATGTTTGGTGCTACACAGGTTCAAAATCAATGGCATGGACGGAGACCATAGAAAAGATAGGAGGTTCAAGAAACTCATGACCCTCTATCGATAAGTTGGAGCTCGAGGAACATCACTGAATATCGTTACAACAAAGCTCAGCTGGCAGCTGCCCGCCTGGACTCTAGACCCCAATCTAGCGGCAGTATTGAAGCAACCGTCAGACATCAGCGCCATACGACACTGCTTCACTCCGACTGAGTGGACACGTCCAGCCCTTCAGTGCTGCCAGTGATGACCACAGAACCCATCTAAGTACACGACATCAGAGCCAGCCCCTCGGTACGGCCAGCGAGGGACGGCAGAACTCACCGTGTGCATCTCTTTAAGCGTGGTGAGCACACAAGCCTGCCAGGGCGGGTAACTGTGCGCGATCCACACCGTGCCGTGAGACGGAGCCTCCACCACGCGCGGCGCCTCGCCTTTCTTCGGCTTGCCTGCGGAGCGCGGCGAAGGGGAGTGAGACTCGGCAGTCAGGGGCCCTGACATGCCCTGACTCAGGGCATGAAAGAACGGGTGGTATAAGAACGAATGATTGTAAATAATGACAAAGCAAGCTCAGATTATTGGCGCGCAAACCCACAGAACTAGTTGGCTAGAGCTTACTAACGTGATTTACTTGTTCAAGAATGCAAAAAAGCAAAAACAGGAACCATGAGCAACAATTGACATTATCATCATGGGACACCTGCAGACATTAAAAGCTACATACATTAGGTACAATCAGAACACTTACATGCCATGATTACACAATATCATATAAAAACCCACTGACCTGGCGTCATGTAGTTCTTGTACTTGATTCGGAAATCGTGCACGGCGTTGGTGAGGTATTCAGCCTTCTTGAGCAGCATGGGGTCCACAGGGTCGGCTGTTGGCCACCGCGCTGACTGGATGCTCCCCTCCTGAACACACAAACAGATGGTAACACTATCGGGCGAACTGAATACTTCCGTCCTAAATACAAAGATAATAATGGTAACACAAACAGAAACGGCTGGGTGAACGGTGGAAACACGTCTGCTCAGTCCGTAGACACTATAACATGACGAATCGAACTGAGTGAGAAACACCAAAAACCAACCCACGTTTTGGATCAAAATCATACCATGACCACACATCGGCAACAATAAATAATTGGAACATCAATCATACATCTATCTGAATTGAGAATCGCCGGCTGACCTCCCCCTCCCCCTCTCCCCGGCCGTCCACTCTCGCACATCC